CAATGGGGAGACATATACAAAGCCCTGCAAGAAAAAAACTGTCAACCAAGAATTGTCTATCCAACAAAACTATCAATCAAATACAATGGTGCGATCAAAACATTCCAGGACAAACAGAATCTGAGAGATTTTATCAAAACCAACCCAGCACTTCAAAACATCCTAAAGGGAGTTCTGTGGATGGAGAACCAACAAGAACAGACAACAAACAGAAATTAACAAGTATGGCAACACCACCTGGAACACAGCCAACAGATAGCAGAGTCCAGAACAGAACGAGACTACAACAACAAACTCAAAGGAGCAGAGAGATCAACTGAAGGCCAAAACCATATCAATGTCAAAGAAGGGACAAACGCAGCAACAGAAGCCCAGGTGGTGGGGATGCCAGGTAAATTACAGGTTACAATGGAATATCCTAAATGCAGAGAAAAGTTAATAGACTACAAGGTAACCCCAAAGAAAGTTAACACTCCACAACACATCATAAAAACAAATTCCCAAGCAAAAAAAAGTGAACATAGAAACTAGGACGAAACTGACAAGAAACAACTCAAAGAACCTAAATTCAACACAAGAAGGAATGCAGAACCAAAGAATGAACAGCACTGCCAAAAAAGTAACATAATGACAATAATCAATTCATACTTATCGATAATTACATTGAATGTCAATGGATTGAATGCACCAGTGAAGAGACAAAGAATGGCAGAATGGATAAGAAAACAAGATCCATCAATATGTTGCCTGCAAGAGACACACCTTACACACAAAGACGAAAACAGACTAAAAGTTAAAGAATGGAAAAAAATTTACCAAGCCAACTGCAACAAGAAACAAGCAGGAGTAGCAATACTATTCTCTGACAAAGTAGACTTTAAGATAAAAAAACAGCATAAGAGACAAAGAAGGACACTATCTCATGATCAAAGGGTCAATTGAGCAAGACAACATAACCAAAATAAACATATACTCTCCCAATGAAAGAACACCAAGATACATGAGGCAAACCTTAATGGAATTGAAGAAAGAAATAGATAAATCCACAATTATAGTGGAAGATTTCAACACACCACTCTCGAAAAGGGATAGAACAACCAGAAAGAAACTCGAGAATGCTACAGAGGAACTTAACACAATCAACTAACTTGACCTCAAAGATATATACAAAGCATTCTATCCAACAACAGTACAATATACATTCTTCTCCAGTGTGCATGGAACATTTTCCAGAATGGACCATGTGTTAGG